ATAACGCTCAAAATCTAGATAAAAATCAAATAATGAGCAACGAGAGAGACAGAGAAGCTTAATTTAACAGTAAGCTCGATATTTTTAGTTAGAACTGAAATCGCGTAATTGAACAGTTTTGTTCGATACTCGGCACTTGGCGAGTTTAATACCAACTATAATTAAAACTACAATTTTGGTATTGAATGTTTTTCTTTACAGAATTCGAACGAAAGATATAATTAACAATTAAAATTAACACTCGGTTTAATCCAAGACTGCTAATGCTGTAATTGCATATTAAATTTTTGGTCTCTCCCTTTTCACATTTTTCTCATTTCCTAATTAAACGGAAAATTGCTTTTAGAAATATAAAGTATAAAGCGGTCTGTTCTTTTTGTCAACTTCCCCTCTTAAAGATTAATATTATCTTTTTGATTTCAGAAAGAGAAAGCTTAATCCATTTGCATCATTTTTGTTATTACTTGCTAAAAAATAAAATTGTTAATAAAGTATTCTAATTAGTCGAGCGTTAATCTACTTTCTTAATTGATCAAAAATCCAATTACTTAGTACTCAAAGAGACAGAACGCATTATGCGAGATTCTCCCGAACGACGATCGTTCGCGACGTTTAGATACGCAAAATTTGTTCGGCTCTATTTCCACTTACATCTTTCTTTTGTCCCCGGAGGCCAAATACGTTGCAAAACTCAGAACGTTATTACCTAGAACACAACCAACTCGTTCTTCTTTATTGATTCTCAGGAAATTATTGCATTTCCCGAATCCTATACTCGTTCACCAATTCATCAATTTTAAGGAGTAGTTACGGGAAATGCAACGAAAAAGATTAATGACACAGAATTTATTACTTCCAACAGAGGAAAGTGGACTGCTCTAAGATTAAGAGGTGACATCTCAGAATAATATTACTTCGTCAACATCTAACCCCACTCGCTTACCCACCGGAAACTGCCATCCCTTCGTACGCCGAGAACTCATTTGCGACACTCAAACCGTAACGTAAACTGCACCGCGAGCCCAATCCCAAAGTGTGGCAACGTTTGTATACTTACTCCTCACGTATATACATATAATCCCGACGACTTATAAACCAAAACGACCGCGTAACCGAGCTCCTGAAATTACAGAAAAATCCGCACACGCTAGCGACAAAATTAAATCGAACTACGTTAGTACGCATCGTAAAGGCCAACTCGAACGTGATGATGTATCCCGATTCCCGATAGATTGATATTCGCAAGAAATAATTTGTGGACTCGTAGAAAGCAGTACTACTTCTGTGATAACAAGTGCATTGGGTGCGCCAAGAAACCGCATCATAAATAACACGCTGATATATTAGGTATCGAGGGCGCAAGGACTAGGCGGATGCCCTTACGTCTGGGTGGGCCTTTAACAGTATTACAGTACCGTTCGGTAAATTAGTCCGAGCGGCTTGCGACTACGTCCACGTCCACGGCACGACGTTCTGCGGTAGCGATACACACAATATTTTCACTATTTTCGACGTCGTTACTGCACCGCTACGTTTGCGATTAATCAGTTTTGACAGCAATTTTGTAAACCGATCAGACACGATACGTTTTATTAGCACGTTTTGTTAAAGCTTCCCCTCCCTAATAGACAATCTTCGCATCCCCGACACTTCGTGTTTGCCCCATAAATCACACGTCACGGGAGCATTGACACGGTCGCATGCACTCTATATGTATGTCTATAAAAGTAACAAATGATATGTTCTCATTTCTGTTTGGATTTCTCATAAAAATAAAACCATCGCTGTCACAACTTCCACCGGAACAAATAGTAACAGAAACTGTTAATTTAATCCCGTAGTTTTTGTGAACGTTTACAGAACCGAATTTACTTCGTGTTTTGTCACGTCGAGTGCAATCATGTCAAATTTTATCAACGCGATTTAAAAAGTTTTCAGCATATGCAAAGTTCTACTTTAAACGTCCGAAGCGAAATAAAAACGCCTGTAGCGAGCTGTGTGTGCGTGTGTTTGTGTTCATCGACAAAACGTCCAACATGTGCGGATGCATTGTTTTCGAATTTATCGCATGCAAGTCAAAGACAAAAGACGCCGTGTGCAAAGTTAATTTTACATAAACAATAGTTATACTGCAAACATGGACATAACTTTAGTTTGCTTCAAATTTTCAATGTTTGCGTAGCATAATTAATTAAACAATGTAATATGTTACTATAATTATTTAGTAACTATACTATCCATATCAGACATACGAAATAAATGTCGTTGGTGATTCGAAATTGCCTAGTACATGTCGGGAAATTATTAGGCCAAGGGAGTCACTCGGCACAATATTTTCAGAATTTTTAGCACGAACGATTTGAAGCGTACCACTTGTTGGTTCTAACAACAGAATGATTGCAACGTTCATTGTTTCTCTTCTTTGTTTTAATTATTCTAATAGAGTATTATATGTGTGACGACTGTATGTCAAGATTAGTTCATAAAAAGGACGTAAAATTTACAACAACAACCACTCCATGAGTTTATCATCGCTGCCAGTGTTGTTAGTGTTACGTATATGTACTATTATTATTAATACGTCTGCGTTTGTCTCACCACCGAAAATTCTGTCCCAGGAAATCAGAATTAAACATGCTCATAATTAGAAATTGTTTTGCGTAGATACCGTAAAACAAAATGAAAACATTTAATCTCGTTTCGTAAATCGGCTGCAAGAAATGCAACGAAAATAGCAAGACTTAGTGCTAGCTTATCTAAATTAACGGTTACCAGTTGGTTGCATTTATACCGAAATTATGTGAAATAATCGGATCCTTAAACGTGTACCCTAAAGCTACTATTATTCTTTTATCAGAAGTTTGAAAGAAAGTTTGGGCGGTTTAATATTTTAAAAGCCTGGAAGCAGGGACGCCTGTTGATAAGCAATAATTTATTCTCAGGCTGACATTTGGATTCTTTTCGTAAATATTTCATCGAAAATTTGGCGGTCGTGCGGTTTCCGAATAAAATACGTCAAAGTATAAATTATAAAACCTATTCGGAGTGTTATAAATACGGTTTAAATTGGTGGCGCAATATTTAATAATTACCCTTGTGCCCGCGCGATAGAATGCAGCTAGTGCCATAAACGCCACATAAAATCCAACAAATCGTACCATATGGTTTTGCTAGAACCTATAAAGCAAACGTCATCAGTGGGACATGGTACGTAGAAGCAATTTTAATATAATCGTCGATTTAATTTAATGCACGAGATTGCCGTATTTACAAAACCCCTCCGTTTGCATATCCCCGATAAATATTTTCTATTTCTCACAGATGGTTTTTGATATTCATCAAATGAGGTGAAATGCATTTCCGTGGGCGTCACTAGACATTCCATGCACGCAGTAACGCCGTGAGACGTTATTTCATTTCTTCGGAGCCTTTTACTTCGTCCGAGAAGAATTTTCCGAGTTGACATGCCGAAATTCTAGATCCATTACCGACGACAAGCAATTTTTGCAAAAAGGGGATAAATCACGCACCGTCTTCATGATAAAGCCGTAAGAATCTGCCGAAATTAATTATGATTTGAATAATTATGTTAAGACATCATTTAACCAGAAAAGTCGTACGTCATGTCTTTACAAACTGACACAACGCGAGACATAAATCAAAACTCCGGCCACAATATAATTTTAAACACCCTCTTTGCCATTAATGACTGTACGATTTAATTGTAATGAAAGCGTAATTGTCAGTGCGACCATCAATCACTGCGCAAGATCTCTGCGAAGGCGAAGAGTGGAAAAAACCAGCGGCGGCTCGCGAGGGAAAGAAACCGCAACGACGTTAAAATTATTTTTTTGGACGTTTCAAAACCGTCGGCAAAATTGCATTCCTTCCTGATCTAATATAACATCAGGAGCGGGATAAAAAAAACTGCTGTCACAGTGACGTTCGTTTTGTGGGGTGTATCGACAGATGGTATTTCTGTGGTGGTGAATAGCTGAAAAATAAGCTCTGTTCCGGCAGAAAATCTTGTTTAAGAAGCTTACGGTGGTTTTAGACCTCCAGCGAATAACTCGAAAGTGTTGAGTAAAAAAACAAATAAATATATAAAAAGTGGAATAGATTCTTGGGTGGTGCGTCACGTGACGAGTCGCCTGTGGAAAAATTATTCGCCGTGTGAATTGCATGATCGTGTTTATTCCTGAGCGTCCCAATGTAGGTGGTCTTGTTGACCTTTTATTTTTGCACCATTATATGGCGCTCGAAAGTATTAAATGTGTACAATATATTAGACTTATAAACCCATTGTCATGCTTCCAGGATCGCTACAAAACTAGACTTTCCGAGCTTTCATCTTTGTTGCTTTATTCCTTTCGACGCATACGTTAAACCGCACAAAGTAAACACACGTGTTAATATTTATACCGAATTTTATTTATACCGGAGGTTCATTTCTGTACAGGTTAAAACGTGACAATTCTGTTTTGATACAGGTGTCAAGCGCCAACGCAAAGCTCACATTAACAACGTACATTATGTTAAGAAGACGTCAGTGAAAAAAGGGAGCGGTATTCCTGAACGCTCCTAAAAAAGAATAATATAAATCTTTAGATTCCCAATGCATGTCCAGATAAACAAATGAATTACAACGAAATTGTCCTTTAAAGGTAGTGCCGTAAAGATTACGGCAACATGATAACGCGATAAAAATAAATTCAGATACCGACAGAAATTATTGATAAAATTTTTCGAATTACGACAAAATCGACACATGGACACATTCTCTAAATAATAATAATACAAATAATAGTAATAATAACTTTTCGACGTCATAAAACACCCGCGCGATTTAAATAACTGCAAAATATATCTCGAAGCATTGTTTGTCGACACGCTCAATTACATTAAAACTTGAGATAAGATTGTAACGTTCATTAAGACTAGCGAATTCAATTAGCTTATCTTTAAGTGTACATCGGTGTTGTTCGAGATGCTTACTATCTTTTGTGAGCGCATTCGTCCTAGCCGCACTTGTCACATATTCACACAATACGTTCCACGTTATCGGCTATCAAAATATCTGATCTACTCTTTCGGCAGCTATCAAACTGGTCAATTATGATCGTTGGGACCACCACTTCGAGGCTCACTCTCTTTGTCCAAAACTGTGGAGATAAAGAACCCGTCTCATTCACGCAGAATATATCAGGTAACGAAAAACTGACTCTAAAAGACATTTGTGGAACCCCCAAGCAATTAACGCAAGATCGATGGTGCAGATCCAATCGGTACCACAACTTTGAAATTTTCTACCCTGTTACGAACACGCACTAGCACCTCATTTTTTACCCGAAACTGAACCAACGTCGAGCATCTTCACGTCGATCACCAAGTCTAATCACATGCGTCCTTGGAACGTGATCGTGGTGCCTACCCACCTATCCACAATTTCACTTCTCTTGTGATAAATTACTTTTTGGGAATCTCTGGTAGTAATCAAGCAAACAAGCCGACCGATTGATCTCTCTTAAACAAAATATTTAACAATTAGTTATTTCAACCTCCAGACTTCAACATTGTGTAATTTGGATCTTCAAGTCTTTATTAAGCAACTCAAAACGTTTTCGATCATAATTGGGACCGATTAATCAGGCAATCAATTAATAGCTTACAACTCCCGTTCCTAAATAATGTAGCTTTATTCAAATTAGAAAACAACCACGTCTCAGGACTATGTGGAATTTTAAATTAAACTAATCTTGTAATCGCTACAGAAACTTTGACGCGAACATGGACAAAGTCCGTGATCTATACTCCATATCATGAAAATCATCGAGCCGTTCAAAACGGGTAATCATTATAGCTTCATTACAAAGATAATAAATTGATGCACTCTCACTTTGGGCTACATGCTACAAAACGATGGTGCCATTTTCTGAAACCCTCAGGAGCACCTTGTAATGAGCTAGAGAGTGGTCGGAATAGAAGTCGTTGAGTTGGTATTTCGACCCATGCCAAACCCCGACGGAAGTAACGGCGTGTATATTACAATTATCAAGCATTACAAATGCAAATGTCGAAACGTTTCAGTTTTGAGCATCTTCAGATCAGTCGAACGAACTGGTCACTTGGCGTCTTAAATGCGGTATAGATTTTATCCTTATTTCTAATGTACAAGTAACAATAAATTATAGCTGTAGTAACGATAAGAAAACCCGAACTATATTTCTATAATGGCAAACGATAAGAGGAAATCTATGGTGGCTAATAAAATTAATCCAGGCGAACAATATGATAGAATTTGCAGTTAATAACACGTCATAAATAAAAGTTTAGCGGCGTATTGTGCACGAGTTATCAGCAGCGATTTCAATATAATATGTGCACAATTATAATTACGCGATGCAGTCCGAAAGTGGAGGCATCGCGTTGATTATTGCAGCGTAATTCCAAACAATAACCGTGTTTTTGACACCTAATCTATGACGATGTTATTCGTTATTAGCGATTTCTATTAAATGATGTACGCACAATGAGCAATTAAAACTGGTGATTTTGATTAGGGCGCAGTCGGTAGGGGATGTAAAAAGTCAAATTGACGGGTTTTGATGTGTTAATAATATGACACGGCTCTCAAATGATGTCAGAATATGAGAAAGAGCTGTCGAGTTCAATTTTAAGTCGTTTTGGACACGCAGGGGTTTCGACCTACAGAATGCTTGTCAGCAATGCATTGATGTCAACCGCACCTGCTGTCTAGGAGATAGTTGTCAATTATAAAAAGATCAATATCGAGCCCATACTGCGCTAAATTATAAAACGTAATGAATTTATGCAGAGCGGATCGGCCTGAAATAATGGAGGAAATTCGGCAGGCATTGTCGTCTAATGAGCGATATTTAATAAAACGGGAGACGGAATCTGCGACTTCGACGGTCGCCCGAAGATCTCAGCGCGATACATAAATTAATATTCGAAAAAACGGCCGATACAAAAAGACAATCCGATATATGACAAGTTTCGTCCGACGCTATTAATCACACAAACAACTTCTCTAATTTATCATTTTGCAGGCAGAAAGCACGATTTTAATGCAACGCAAGTTTAGGGCTTGAGGCAGACGTATACATACCGCGTTAATTCGCGATTTTACGGGATCGATTATACGCATTACAATTGATTAATAACATACATGCAAGGGATAATGAGGAAAAATTTTAATCTGACCAGTAGCACAGGTTTCGGTAGAAAAAAGCTGTCGCCGTGGACTCCCACATGGAGCTACCAAGAAAAAGGACATCCATCAATTTCTACGCCAATAAACTAATTCGACGCGTTATTTTATATAATGTCGAGTGCACCTAAAGGTTTTGTCTAGTTTATGCAACTATTACGCGCTTGTTTATTATGTTGTACTTTCCTTTAGCGCATTATCGCAAATCAGAGGAGGCGAGAAATACTACGAAAAATAAATAATTAAATTCTTGAATTACCTACTAAATTTATGCTATTCCGTATTAAAACCGCGTTAGCGTCAAAGCGCCTTCGGATTTATAGACTGGCATGGCGTGGGATTTGTTCTACACACAACTATTGTTTCCTATAATTAGTCGTCGATACGCTTCCGGTTCTCCAAAATGGCGACTTTTCTTGTCTTGTGGGTAACGAGACGATCACACAACAGGCAAAGAAAAATTATCATAACCGTGGAAACGATTTATTATTTATGGGGATACGGTCGTCATCATCAATTAATTCGCTGCTTATCGCAACGAACCAACACCTACAACTTTATCGAATAATTGGTCACATTTTACATGGGAAGCATGCGACCAACAAGTCGACAGAAGGTTCGTCCGAATATAAATAATGACGAAATCGAACTTTATAAAGCTCACCTTTGACTGTGAACTGTGGGTAGTGGAATTATGAGCATCTAGCTTCGGTTTTTATTAATTACGATTGCACGCTATCGAATATTTCACCACAGTTATATCTCCTTATTCGTCCGATTTGTCCCTATTCACTAGTGACTTGCGTTGTCTATAACTTATACGTCTTCGTCGAGAGTTGTTAATCAGTCGACTATTGTTAAATGTGTTATTACCGAGGGCGCCAGCATGTTCTCGAACTATTCGCGATCCGGAACTCCTCACAATCGGCGGTCAATGGAAGATGCAATTAAGTCGTTACACTTCTTCAATACATATTGCTTTGCTTATGTCTCTATTTACCGAGACTGTGGGAGTTTCCATTTGTTGTAAGGAACGGGATTCCGAGTGTCTATCCACTTCTCCCAGTCGATAATTCTTGCGACTTTTTTGACCGCAGGTAACCAGAACACGGTTGATTACGACCGACGTGGACAAATTTATATCGCACGATAGTTTTGCATTCGTGTTCTGTGTGTGTTCATTCGTTTTATCTAAATATCGCACCCCGTGACAGAATTTTATTAAAGCGAACGTTGTTAAAAACAAAAAAAAAAGAAGGGGGGCTGTGTTCGAGCGTCTTGTGGCTCGATTTAAGCCCTCGTCTTCTTATAATAGGTTTGATTTGGGACAAAACGATACCGGATACTTTAATAATCCGATTTTATAGTGACGGGCGTCAACTTTGATTACCGCCCGGCGTTGGGGTCTGTCTCGTATCGGCCAACACTTCACTCTCTTATCAAAACGTAATTGCTGAAGGGAAGTCGATCTTGCGTTAGCCACGAATCTGCGTTAAATAGAAATACGAGCATTAAATTCGAATATTTATAGCGGCCGTAATGGCAACCGTGTAATTATAATATCATTTCGAGTTTTATGAAACGGAATAGTTTGTTTTATTCTCGACAATAAATAACGAATAATTACGGGGAATGCGGATTAATTCGTGTTTATTTTTAATCTAATCATGTTTAATAATAATAAACGTTAACATGCTAACAGTTTCAACACATTGTAAATAAGTCCGAGCCGTATGATTATAGCAGAACTTGCATTTGACTCCATTATCATAACGTCTCGTGTATAACTTAGTTTGTTTTAGATAAAAATAAAACTTGTTACATTAGTCCGACGTAATTTAATTTAAATTCAATTCCCATCCTCACTACCGCGAGTGCCGTTTAAAAACTTTCCGCAAAAGCTGTATTGTAAATTTGAAAAGTTGTAAAATTAAAAACAAGAATAGTCGCTGCCGAAGAATCGCTCTCGTCTAAGTACATTATGCGGCACGCCTTCATTACAAAATTGTTTCTATAACGTGAAAAATTCCGAACGGTGGGTTAAAAGCAATAAATAATACTTCGATAAAATCAGTCGTAATTGGTATTTTAAACGCGTTATTGTACGGGACGAAAAACATGCGAGACTTAAACCACCCAAAGTCAAATATGTTAAGTGGTATGTGGGCAGCACAGGTGCTACGAAAGGGTCCGAACGGGGTTTACGATAATTAAACAATGGCCGAGTTCGAGTAATTGCGGCGATTACTTATTTCGCATTAATTAGTTGCATTTTATTAAATGCTTTTCTCGAAATTTTGTACACGTTCGCAATTAAAAATAAAAATTAATTCCTCCGCCTAACTTGTAATTTACATAAATATTCGTTGATTTATCGGGCGAAACTGTCGCTGGGAGCGTCAATCAATTTTTACGCCCTTTTCTCTGCACTCGTATCAATAACGTCATAATATTTAATAATAATATGCCACCGAAAGCGGCGCTTTTCAGATGCCAGATAGACGGTTATTAACATATGTTTACAAGGGAGATAAAAATATTTATTTCTTTCGGCCAGATCATTTTACATAATATAAGCCGTTTTCGAATCGTTACACAGATTTGAAAGCGTGTTCAACATTTATAGTTTCACTTATATCGCTTACATCCATCAGAACGTACGGCACCATTAAGCCAGATCCGTACTCGCGATTTGCCTCCGACTCTGTATAATTTCGACGATTTTACGTTCTCGCTGCGTTTTGCCAAATTAAGACCTCAACTTTCCGGTGGGAGGAGACGACAATCTAACATAATAACTGTACAAGACGCTATCTTCATCAATATGTAAAATCATAATTAGCGGTAATTAATATGTTAAATTAATTAATTTCGTTGCTAAGAAAACATAATTAAATAGAACACAAACTCAAATTAAATAAATCAATGCGAGAAACGCAAAGCATAAAATTATAGTTTAGCGATAATTACCGTAA